CCCCAAAACCCCAAAACCCCAAAACCCCGTTAAAACAAGTGTTTATTGAATTATCATATTTATAAAACTACAGGGAGTGAACTTTCATGATTAAATGAGCCTTCTTCACTGATGTGCTCTTTCATGATTCTTTCATTGAAGTTCTTATCCTCAAATTCTTGTTTCATTGATTTATAAACTCCAATATAAAGCCTAGCTTCAGTAATCTAAATGAATTAGGCACTAAGAACATACTGTGGATCTAAAGAAAAGGTCTAGGTCAAGTCCGTAAAATTTTTGAGCAAGGCTAGGCACTGTGGTTACTCCAATCTCTTCATGAGTTATTAAATCTCGAACTGTGTAAACAGACTTAATCGATAGCATCTCTAGTACTTTTTGGATGCCATAGCCAACAATAATTTTGCCATCACATATCACGTTGAGCTATAAGGTTATGAAGCTTTACTCACCATATCACTGAGATATTTAAGAGGAATTCCAAAGGAAGGATCATAAAGATATCCATAGTAAAGTGGCACATAACAGATAGTCAGGGATGGCTGAATTATACTATCAAACAAGAGATGTCCATGTTCGTTGACAATTGAGACTCTGAGGATTTCTTTCTCGTTTTCTTCGTTTATTCCCCAGTTTACTGCTATTCCAATAATTTTCGTATCTCTAAAAGTGTCAAATTGATATTTGCTTACTCTCCAAGGGTTTCATAATCTCATTTGAAAATGTCTGAGTAAGGACCTCAAACAAGGTCAGGCTTTTTGATATCTGGAGGGTCAATGAACCTGGCCTCTTTCGAGCCCCAAAGCTGATTATAAACCATTTTGACATTGAAAATACCGATTTCTCTAGCAAATACTTTGAAGATTCTCATTCATGCAATGGCATCTTCCACCTAAGAGATATAAGATTGAGAATGAGCTTACTGGAGAGTGATTAGAAGTCAGTTGGATTCTAGCATCTACATATTCGAGGGTGAGGTCTCTCAACTTCCTTCTAAGATTTTTCTTTTGAAACATTTTGATCAAGGATGTATCAAGAGTCCTCTTACAATCATGTCTTGTAATTCTGAGGTAAGCAAAATCTTTGGGTAAATTGTGAGCAATTACTATTTTATCCTTAATAATCTCTCTTATTTCACGATGCATTACTTTAAAAGGCTTTCTTCTGGTGCCAGTGTGGTCAAGGATCCATTCCTCATCATCATTATTATCATTACCAGCGATGACATATTGCGGAACCTTGTCTTCCTTCTTTGTAGTGTTGGTATCGGAAGAGCTGGTAATTTCCGCCTGAGGTTGATTAGCAGAATCCTGCTTATTATCATCGCCTTCTTCCTCAGAATCAGTGATTGCTAGTTCATTTTGCAAATTGTCATCATCAAGCATGCCTTCGACATCCTGCATTTCTTTGATCTCCTTAATTTCTTCCTCATCAAGGTCATTTTTGAGATCATTTTCTTCAGAATCAGAAGTAAGACAGAGATCCTCATCTTTGGATTTCTTCTTCTGCTTCAACTCAGATTTTTGCTTGTCTAACTTTGGTAGTTTATTCCTATCAAAAATCTCTGAAATAAGAGCATCTTGGCCTATTTTGGCATTAGGTTTCTTTTTGGACTGGGCAAAAATGTCATTTATCGTCGTACTAGCATTCTCAACAGTTGCATCATGCTTTTGCTGGTCTTTGTGAACCTTCTTACCATCAATGTCAATAGAGAAGTTAGAGTTCTTCTGCTTGATATCTTTGAGCTCCTTGCCAAACTCCTCGTCAAACTCCTTATCGATCTCATCATAATCAGAGTAATCACTATCAGCCTGCTTCTTCTTAGAATCCGTACTTGCTTTAGTGGAGGTATTCCCTTGAGTACCTTTGCTCTGAGCTTGGTACTCTTCTTTAGCTATTTTCTCAAGATTGTTCCGATTTTTGTTCCGTTCAAGGATCTTTTCAGCATTCCGAATGCTCTTCTCACGATCTTCACGCAAGAGTTTCTTGGTCTCTTCCCAATCGTTGTAGCGGAGGCAGAAGTCAGAATAGTAGATGCATTCTTCATTGAAGTTACAGATTCCAACTCTTGGAATGGTCTTACCGCCTCCATATTCTACGTCAATAGCCACAATTTTGTCTGTATCCAGGTGCTCCTTGTTCTCAATGATATCTCTCAAAATCTGGTCCTGCTGGAAAGTCTGAGCAACAGTTTGATACACAATCCTTCTAAAGATCTTCCCATGCATGGGCTTGAAGTTATAGCCAATAGAGTTGTTCCAATTCTTGAAGTCATTTCTGACTTTGGCCTTGCCGATATTCAAGGTGTTATAATACTTGTTCCCAAAGCCATTGTTGAATTCACAGTCAAACTTACCCATGAAGACACGATTTCTGTAGCTCTTGAGCAGGTCATATTTGATATTCTCATAATCAATATGGCCGGTCTTTTTCTTGTACGAATTAGTCTTCTGATCAAACTCCATTTTAGGATTAATTCCTTAAGGAATTTATGCAATAGCCTGACTAAGATCAGGCGAAGTTTACCAGCGCAGGTTAGCCAGAGAAGTTTATTTTTTAGTACTGCTTCAATTTTTATGAATTTTAGCGGGGTTTTGGGGTTTTGGGGTTTTGGGG